CTCGTCTAGCTCACGTTATTTTTTTATTTATTTATTTATTTGGTATATATTTGATTTACTAGTGACAGTTCTAGTTTCGCAGGGGTTTCTTAGCTTGTTTGCGTTTCCTAAAATTATTTAGAGTTTGCTATGCTTTGTTGGAATACATGTTTAGTAAATAAGGGCAAAGACCTTCCAGCCGTGTAGCCTTCATAGGATGGGTTTTTCAGAGCATGAGCCATGGATTCTACCCAGATTTTCAGCCGAGTTTTTCTCCCTAGTGGGTTTTTTTCCGGCAGGTTTTTTCTGGCCTCTGTTCTGACAGTATTCTGTGTAAACTGTCGCTCATCAGCTCTGTTCTAGTTTTTCCACCACATGTTTGAATTTAATAGAAAATGTTGTATAACGGATTGTTATATCTGCGGTGCTCGGCCGAAACAGCAAAAATAAACCTAACGCTTTTTCTTATTCATTTTGTACTGCGTAATGGGGCCGAAATATCCTTGTTTAATTGTGTCCAGCTAAATAACAATTATTCACCGAAGTGGGGGTGGCTAGTGGTTGGGGATATTTAACGAGGCCGCGAAGCAGCGAGGTAAATATCCACACCACCAGCCACCGACACCGAGGTGAATAATTGTTTTAGTATATACTAAAACATTGAGATAATTGAGCACACAAATGATGATTTTTAATTCATTTGCTGTTGCCAACGATTACAATTTTGGGGCGCAATGACCGAACGGCCGCGGTCGTCGCTTTTTGTTGCCGAGAAATATAACTTTTGAAGGCAGTTTGTTTGGCTCTTGCGGGGAAATTTCTTCAAAAGGAGTTGTGAATTCTTTTTGTATTTAAAATCATTCCGTAAAAAAGATTATTAAATTTAGTTTTAAGCTTATTTATGAACAAGTCAACTAATAAAACAACGTAAGACTCAAGCTTAATTTGCATTTGTAAACAAAAAACTTTATTTTTCACAGGTTTTATCGATAAATTCAAGTCAAAAAGACAAAGCTTTACCTGTTAAAACTTCCAAACCGAGCTTCGACACCTTCTTCTTGTATTTCGAAAACAGCTTGCTTGATTAGTTATGAAATTTCTTTGTTTGTTAGGGCAGCAGACCGGGAAGGCATTTTGCTCGCAACTTACGCGAGTTTGGCGGAGGAACTCGAGGTGAATCAGTGAATAGTGCAGGATATTCACTGATTGAGTAGCCAATCAGAGCGCGCGAAAAACACTACCCACTATTTTGTTATATACTAAATCAAGATAATCAGAGATTGCATTTTTAACAATAACATATTTGGGGGACCAATACGTTAATACACCGCACACCTCTTCCATGCATTAAACCATAAAAAGAACCGGTAACTGGTCATGTTCTAAAGCGCCCCATATTCTGACTAGTGCTTAAATTAAATTCCATTGTTTTAAGAATTTTCCGCGATGATCTTTGTTTCAAATTAAAAAGCGATATTAAGCCGGCTGCTTAAGAACCTTTCGTTGCTAGTTCTTCCCGAAATCACACTCATTATCCTTTGAATGACACACTTTCAAGTTATGCCTTGACCAGCCTAAAAGTCGTCGTTTTCCTTGTTCGACGTACTCGAATTGGAAGTAAATGGTTCTCAACGCGTTCACACAATCTTTCAGTCATCAAGCAATCACCAGGAAAGAACTGATTCCAGAAGAGGCCTAAACAAAAATGAGAGAAGATTAAAGAGTCCACTTGAAGGAGAGGGGGCTGAGTGTTTACTTTCTCCTGAGTCTCTACCCAACCGCTAGCCTCTTGGTTAGTCTGAACAACCAAGGCCAGGCAGCAGGGTGTCGAATGGATGGTGTTTCATACGTTCCCATCTCTACTCCAGTGTAGGAGAAGGACACGAAACGTAGACCCAGGCAATGACAAATCTATGTGATTGTTTTTCAAGGTACTGGGGAGCGTAACTATTCCTTTAGTTTCTATATCTGTAGTTTGTTAGTGATTGATTCAAACAAGGTAAAAAAGTTAGCCACACTTATAATCAGTAAACGTGGTTCACCGGGGTGCGGGATGCTTTCAGTGCTAGCACTAGCTAGCGGCAAGCGAAAACGAGATAAGCCTACGGTAGTCGAGTTTTACTCTGTTTAAGGATAGAATGACGTTTTAAATAAAAAGAGTTCGAAAACGCAAACTGTACCGAAACGGTTCCCAAAGTCAAGTCATGGGAGAGTGTTAGTACAGAATACTTTTAAAATTACTTTAGTAACCTGTACATGCCACAGGTAACCAAGTTGGGTGGTTTTCTGTCACCAATTACAAAAAGCAAGAGAAATTCTCGTGAACTATTACGAAACCTTTTATTTCACAATGAATTTTACAAAATATGACTCTCCTGTGTACACTTTACAATTGATTTACAAAACTATTTACAACAGTTTGATTTTTACTTCTTTTTACCTATTAAAACTCTACAATAAAAAATTTCTTCAGCTGTCATAAATTACACATCTGACAAAGGCAACTAATATACGAAAGAAGTAGTTCCGAGTGTGTTTCGATATTCCAAGAAATCGTTTTAAATGCATATCGGTACATTTTGATTGGAGAATCAACGTCTCTAGCTCCTCGTCGACTTCATTTTATAATTAATGCAGTGAAAAGAAAATAGTTTTGAATCAAGAAACACAGTCGTAGAGAGCACCTCTTGACGTAGGTTCAGTCTTCAGCCGTGGGTCTCTCGATGGGGTGTCCTAAGGCTAGAGACTAAGCCCAATCTTGACACTACAATGCAGGAATTCGGCAACAAAATGAACAGATGAATCTGAAACAGAAATAACACAACATAGTGAGGATTTGCAATAAGGTGGAGTCTCGTTTTTTCGAAACAAAACCCGTTTTCCATCCCCAGCCAGAAGATTGTTACTTTCCATATTTTTTTGGTGCTAAACATCATTAGCTGATTTTCGTTTCCCTCGTGATTTTGGAAAAAAATAAGTAGGAGTATGAATATTGAATAGGTCGCCATCAAGAGTGAAAATTTTAGGGGTCTATGGTATTTTTGACTGTTTACCGAGAGGAGGTCGAAACGTCGTGACTTTTTCGCTTAACTTTTACACCAAAGAAAATTTTATAATCGAAAGAACCGGGTGTGTGTTTGATTGATTGGGAAAAAGAGTTCACAGAATATCCGTAAGGCCATTTTGTTACAACTTGAATCCAAATAAATGGTAGAGAAACTGAAATGTTCTTTTTGCTCGCTTTACGAAAATGATATTCGTTTTTCCAAGAGTATTTGAGTATACATAAAAATTCAACGCGCCCTAAAAAAGGTTAAATATTTAGAATAATCCTTCGAATTTTCTTTAACCCGCCTATTACTAGGACCATGCCATGGTTTTTTTATATATGTTTTTCTTTTTACTCACTGTGAAGAGCGCAATCCTATGGGTGGTGAATTATTCTGCAAAAAAGAAGAAGAGGAACATTTGGAACACACGCCTCTACATTTGAAGTTAAGAAAAATTGTACTCCAAAACTACTTAATTTTCGCCCATAAGGGAATTTCTGAGCCCAGCGCTAACCCGGGGTTGGAGGAGGTCTTTCTCCTTATTTTGTCCCTCTCTCTGACTAACTCATGCTACAGAGACTGCACTAACCGAACGCCTGGAATATGCTAAGAACTAGAATTTAGAGGGCGAGAGGGAAGTACAATGACCTGTGGCTCTTTGTACAATTCAGTGAACGCGAGAAGCCTTAAACTGCGGGCCTCAACAAGGAGAAAAATGTCGCTTTTCTCATTCTCCTCACTTGATTGGACCTCCGTGCAGGATATATTGTCCGATTGATTTCAGTGTTAAATTTCACTTATTTAGATTATTCCTACCTGTGTTGCATCCGCAGCCTTAAAACCGTATTTAGAAAGCAAATGGCGCGACAGCGCTTCATCTCTGGTGTGTTTGATAACAAACCAGTCAGCCAGACCATCCCCCGGATTTTCCATACAAGATCGCTGTAACTGCAGACCATCAAACCTTTGGTAAGCTGGGTTTGACACATTTCGTTCTTGCGATAGAGACAGACGGTCACTGTTTGTTCTTTTCAAGGAAAAAACAAAGAAAAAGAAAGAAAGTCAAATTCAAGAATGACCAGCGACTCGGAAAAAATTTCGACAACTTTCCAAACTGGGGTTAAACCTGCTTTCTAAATAACGCGGATTAACCAGCTATACCCTTTGAAAATATGTTTTATGATAAACAGCTATACAATTCAGAAGTTGTTTTTTTTAAATTTCATTAAAGAAATATTCCTAGAGAGAGGAGACTAAGGAGAGTAACCCTAAACGCCGGACAAAAGTGATTCTTTGCATTTGTGCTAACTGCGAATGAGCACTCTTTTCATTTACTTTAACGGCTTCACCGAGAATTTATATTAAGAACTCTTGTATGTTTACAATTCCAGAACAAGGTTTGGTGGTAAAATTTGTAGGGGCTGACGATAAAGGGCTATTTGTTTCTTTGCCGTCCCACCAGAGCAGTTCGTCTTTGCAGGAGCATTATACATAACAATAGCTTGTTTGAGACATTTTACTCAATGAGTAACCTGAAGACTTTGATGCCGTTTTGTTTCATAGTGATGGCACATTCTCTGTGGACCTGATGTGAGGAGTGTTAATCAGGGAAACCTAGAGTCAGATCGCCGCCATCTAGTGTGTTAAACTTGTTAAAGACAGCATTCAATTTTTTTCACCCAAAATCATTACAGTTCTTAAATGATTCCGGGAATTGCTGACGTCGAATAAGTACAGATTCTTTTAAGGGTAAATATCGGTACTGAGCCGTGCCCAAAATGATCTCTTTAAGACGTCTCTAAAATTCTACTTTTCCGACTAGCATCCCCACAACCTATATGTACAGACACCCACTCCACTCAAACAAAATTTTGCTTGAAGGGAGTACTAGGCGGCAGTACATACATAGGCTAGCATGTTTGTTATATCTACGTCACCACAGTTGAAAACGTTCTGCAGAAGTCACGGCACCTACCGGCAAATGCCACATTTTTCACAATGATACGGATTCTCGTCCACTCTAATGAAATGTTTACTGATGGGGCAGAAATAAACAGACATTTTTCCTCCACACTTAAAAAACTTGGCACTGTCTTCGCCAATCTGTGAAAATAACAGACAAAAATATGATGCAAATTAAAGGGAATAAGGTACCAGGCCAGCTGGGAAAAAAATGATTGAACTTCCGTGGGAATCGAGTCCACGACCTTCGGATTAGCCTGGGAATTATAGTCAACCCTCTCATAACAGACACCTCCATAAGACGGACACATGGTGTTAGTCCCTGCCGTTTTTAATTTTTTTACTGTAAGTATACACCCTATAAGACGGAAACCTCTTAAAGTCGGACAACAAACACTTTTTTTTTAAAATCATGATTTATTTAAATAACTAATCACATTACATAGAAAACATACTTCTGCTTTCTTCCACAAAAGGCCACAAAGGGCACGTGCTTGAGCAGCTGCTTTTTAAAGAAGACCTGAAACTTTCTTTTTCACAATCCGTTTGGTATTTTTTTGTAATACTCTAGTGATGTTTTTAGGTCAAAACAAAAATAAAAGTCCAGCTTAACGATTAGCCATGCTAGACTTAACACAAGTCAAAACATGCAACTTCCACCCGGAAAATGTGGTCAATGTTTAAACATAACCATGATATGATATATGTTATCCAAAACAGACAACGCTTCGTAGAATTTTTCAGTGCGCGATCTCTGGAGTTTATTTTTTTCCGGAGTGATATTGTCGCCTCTACCAGGGAACTGCATGAGGTCAATGTGTTACGTAACCATAACTATGATCATGTTATAACTGCCGTATGATCATGACAACGCTTAATTTTGGGTGAGGTTGTACCGAGAGGTCAGACATGCAGTTTGCGGTTTCCGTTTAAATATAGTTTGAAAGTATGGTAACTTCATTAAATTTTTGAACGCGCTATCTCTTCAGTTTCTTTGTTTTGTTTGTTTGTTTTTTGTTTTTTTTGCCGGGGTGGCAGAAATAATTAAAAATAAAGTTTACTCAAAAAGCATTCCATTTCTTCTAGCCCGCGTAGCATGCAGTCATAGAACTTACAAGCACCTGTTATGGAGGCTACATTCCTTAGTCTCAAATCATTATGCGCATTTGATCTTATAAACATGTATTTTGCGCAATATAAATATTAAATTATTATTATTATTATCATTAGTCAAATGAAGATCAAGCTTTGGCAATCAGTAAAGTAAACTTGTGACACTTGTAAGGCACACCCACCCACCTCTTCCACGCGTTAACCTATAAAAAGTTGAAGCGCCCCATATTCTGACGAGTGCTTAAAATTCAATTGTTTCAAGAATTTGTCGCAATGATCTTTGTTTCAAACTAAAGAGCGATTTTGGACTTGAATTGAAGCTTGCTGCGTAAAGAGCCTTTCTTTCTCGATATCTTTGAAGATGCGACGCATTTTTGTGCATTGACAAGCCTTAAGTCGTCGACGTACGCGTCAATTGAAAGTAAATGGTCCCCAATTACGTGTGCACACAATCTTTCATCAATCAATATACCGGGAAAGAACTGGTTCTAGAAGAGGCCTGAGTACAAATGAGACAAGATTGAATAGTCTGGAAGGAGAGGGAGTGAGTGTTAATATTATCCTGAGTGTATCTATCCATCCTTCGAGCGTCTTCTGCTAACCGAACAGCAAGGCCAGGCAGCAGGGCCTACTGGACGTTGAATCGATGGTGTTTCATTTGCGTGCATCTGTGCTCTGTAGGAGGAGGACACGTGAGAAGCGTAGGACATACCGTATTTTCTCGATTTAACACCGGGCCCCGAATAAACGCCGGGTCTTGGAGGGGAAGTTGTAGATACACCCCCCCCCAGACGTTTATTTGTGGTATAATAAACTAACGGTATAAGGGCAAGATACATGGCTGTCAAGAATAAGGGATAAAAACTTTTTTTTAGTAACAGTAAGCCCGAAAAAAATGCAAATTCAAACAAACCCCGGTCCACAAAGCCAAGTTTGAATTAAACGCCGGGGGCGTTAAATTGAGAAAATACGACATGCGGTTGTTTATTAAGGCATAATGAACACCATTGTTAGTTCATATCTGTTTGTTAGTGGTTAATTTTGACAAGGTAAAGGTTAATTCCCTTGTGCTCGATGCCTTTTGCCTCGCTACAGTACGATTAGCCAGACTGATGCTTCGATTCAGTAACGTGCGAGAAAATTGTTTGGGTGATTCAACAGGATGCTACATGTCTTCCGTGCCCGCAGCAAGCGAAAACGAGATAAACCCACGGGAAATCGAGTTTTACTTTCTTTACGGATATAATGAGGTTTTAGATAACACAGTTCGAAAACGCAAACTGTACGAAACAATCCCCAAAGTGAAGTTATCGGAGAAAACAAGTAAAACTAGTAATACTGTACAGTTGTAAAATTGCTTGTGTGCATTCCACAGGTAGCAACTGCAATGAGGTGGGTAGTGCTTCGCTAGCAACAAAAAAAAAATTGGAAACAGGAATCTATACAACCTGTGAAGGCTTTCGTTCTGCCTTCTTTAGGAGCTTAATCCATAGCCAAACGAATTAATTATGAGTTCAGATATGTGTGGCGATTTTTCAATAAAACAGGTTTCTGTCACCAATTTGTAGTTTATAAAAAGCAAGGCTGACATACTCAGCAACAACATAATCTCGTTGACTATTACCTTTTTTAAAATTTCGCAATGACTTTTACAAAATAAGACTCTCCTGTGTACACTTTGCAGTTGATTTACAACACTGTTTACAACCGTTTTGTTTTTTACTTACTAAGAACTATTTGTTTTTACCTATTAAAACTCTATAATAAAAAATTTCCGTAGCTGTCATAAATCACATTTGACAAGTTGGATGATTTATACGAAAGAAGTATTTCCAAGTGTAATTCGATATTCCAAGAAATTGTTTAAACTACGTCTCGGTACATTCGGATTGGAGAATCAGCGTCTCCAGCTCCTCCTCGACTTCATTTTGTAATACAGTGGAAAACAAAATAGCTAGTTTTGAATCAAGAAACACAGTTGTAGAGAGCACCTCTTGACGTAGGCTCAGTCTTCAGCAGTGGGTCTCTCGACGGGGTGTCCCAACGCTGGAGACTATAAAGCTTACTCTTGACGCTACAATGCAGGAATTCGGCAACAAAATGAACCGATGAATCGGAAACAGAAATAACACAACATAGTGGGGCGTGCAGGAAGATTTGCAATAAGGTGGAGTCTCGTTTTTTCTAACCAAAACTCGTTTTCCATCCCCAGCCAGAAGATTGGTACTTTTCATAGTTTTTTGGTGCTATAATAAACATGCATCATGTGTTAAGCTAATTTTCGTTCTACCTAGATTTTGGGGAAAAATAAGCTCCTGGGTATGAATATTGAATACGTCGTCTTTAAGAGTGAAAGCTAAAAAGGTGCCCAAGAAATTTGCTAATTATTGTGTTTAGTCACGCAGCACCAAATTCCCACCTTCGTTTCCACTGCAAGATGACCTTCTACCCCTTACCGTGCTAATCAGATTTTGTGGGCTAGACTAGCCTGTTCCAGGCTCCGAGATAGTCTACCGAATTAAGAAAAAGCGAACTTGAGAGTCTGGGACAGTGTTGCCTAGGCTAGGGCCTACCTCATACCCAGGCGCGTTCTAGCGGATTCGAGAGCGACTGGGATTTTATTTTCTTGCTAGGTATCATGAGAAAGGTAAAGAGAAAAACGCGCCTGGCAGAATTATACGATTTCAAAATGGCGGAAAGTAATTTATGCAAAACTAGAGGGAAAGAAAAAGAATAATTTAGTTTTTCAGGGAAGGGAAAGTTCACCAGCTCATCCTGAAAGACAAAATCCCCTGTCCACACAGTTTCTGTGAAAAGGATCCAAATTTTTTCGAAAGAAATGGCATTTCCCAGCATTTTCCTTCATGGAAGTAAACTTGCAAGATTGCAAGAGAGCTGGGTTCTCAGAAGAAGGCTTCATGCCAAAGAAACCACTGATATTGTCAATGAATTTTTTTCAAAGCAGCCTAGAGCGAAAAGGTAAGACAAATTCTTGTACTTGTGTGACATTATTTCTCCTCAAACTAGCGCAACGGGAACGGTTCAAAGCCCAAACTCCAAAAATCGGAGTTCTCAGAACACAGAAATCGAACTAAATCTGCGAGGCGTCTCATTTTTCTCGTTCACCTTTCCCAGCGTCCTTTGTGTCCACGTTGAACGTTCCCATGGTCCATTGCGCGATACTCCTTGATGGCTCGTGTAGTCGCGTTTTCCGTTTTCCACACTTAAGACGCCTAGGAACGAAGCAGGCCTAAAGCTAGACAGAATATCAACAAGTAATTAAAGACTAGCGTGAGGATTTTAACAACCAAAAGTTTAAAAACAATTTAGATATCGTAAAATTCCGAAAATAAGCCCTTCCATGTATAAGCCCTTCCAAATAAAAGCCCCCCAAAGTCGTAACGCAAGAAGCCCTCCGTTCAATCGCCCCTCCGAATATCCTCGTCTTAGAATCTAAAGGTCTCTAGTGTTCACTTTTATAAATTCAAAACGGATACACCACCCCAAATTCGTTTCGACGAAAATATTATAATATGCGCACTATGCGGTTTTCAGCCTATATCTGTCTATTCGAGTACTGAGGCCCTAGACAAATAAAGCAAACATCTTTATTACTGATGTTGAAACTCCACTTCTCTTTACAGAAACGAGTCAATATTATAGGCGCGTTTCTTTGTATTGCGGAAAACTATCGTTACTTACTGTGGGTATTGTGTTGTGTTTGGTGACTGCAAGCAGGAAAACCGCATTGATCAAAAGGATACTCAAACGTGTAAGCTTTCTTTGAATTTATTAACTGAAAGGATCAAAATCGTAGTGCTGTTTGGATGATTTTTGGGGTATCCGTTAAGCTTATATTCAAGGAAATATGAGAGAAAACGCCAAAGTAGTTTGTGAATTGAAAGTTTCCTCTGAATTGTTAATTATTGTTGTTTAATGCCAATTCTGTGCTAAAGTCATTACTTGTTTACTTAGTGCCTTTACTCATACACAAAATGCCATATCAAACAGATGTTATCAGGGAGTATTAACGATATATTAACTATTTTTTTTTTACGATTTTTGCAGGCATAATCAACGTAAACTTGAAAAAGTTGGCCCAACTCTTTCAAGTTTCATCATGTCAATTCCTGCCATCCTTTGCCATGTATACAGGAAACAGTTTCAATGTCTATAATAGAATTAACTTGTTTTGTTAATCATTAACCGAGATTTACCGATCGAAAATTTTAACCGACAACCGACAAAGTATTTAGTCACTCTTTGCCTTTAATTTCGCAAGGTTTCACAGAATGTAACTGAGTACGTGACCAAAAACACTGAGGCTCAAATATCAAGAGTAGTAAATAAGTTTCTTCGAAGTGGAATGTATCATTGACGTCATCGAGTATCCAGAAGGTTATGGCCCGGACTGTTGTAATTAAAAATTTGCTGATGAACCAGCATAAGCACTCAAGGTAGAAACATTGCACTAAACCACAAAGGACTGAGATATTGTTGTTAGTTTTTGAAGATCAGAAGTAAACAGTGATATTACATGGTATTAAATAATTATACACACACACCTAACTTTAAAAGTGGTGAGCAGAGTATCAGACAAACACGAATTATGTAAATGTTTCAATATACAGACTAAATCAGTAAAAATTTGAAACCTTCGCAATTAATATAACGTGAAACTTTAATAATCAAGAGTCATCTTCTGGCGAAGATGAACAACGGAGAGGTAAATGGGTCTATATAAAGGGTCTATGGGGGACGAGAAATCTGGCCGATGCGCTAAAAAAGGGCGTCTTTAGCTGAGATAAAGGTAAAATTTCATGGAAGTACCGACTGCAAAGTCCGTGGGCAATCATTTAGTGTGCATGCGTCTGATATACCCTTTTGAACTCAAGACCTTAGCCGTTTTATACTTACCCGATCACGAAGCATGCACCTCGACTGTCTACAGGCCCCCAAGGCTACAACTCCTCCTTTGGTATGGTACTAAAGAAACTGGCTGGCTTTGCAATGTCTGTACCAGTCAGAGAATGATTTGCGATGCCGAGACTCACGTCTGGAAGCGTGTATAGTAGTGAAGCGTGAAAAGTAGTGGAGTACCACCACATTTCTATTGTTTTCCTCCAGCACGTAAGACGTGTTGTCCTTTTTGGAATGCAACCTCTCGTCCCCAGGGCTTTTCCCTCCCAAAAAATCAACCAACGCATTTAAGAAAGCATTACACACATATGTACAATCAGCGAAAAATACTCTTTGATACTTTATGGAGAACAATTAATGTTTTTTATAGAGCTAATTTATCCCTCTTTCAAAAGGGATATAGCTTAAAACACTGCTGTAAATAACTGCAGAGATATTAATAAAAATATGAAAGTCGTCAATTTTGGCCTGATTTTTAAGCAAAAGCAATGAGATACTTCGACTGTCTACAGGCCCCACGGCTGCATTTCCTCCTTGGGTACGATACTAATTAATTAAAATAAAATGGCTGGCTTTCCAATGTCTGCAGGGGCGTAGTCAGGATTTTTTCAGAGGTGCGCAAATCTCCAAATACCCCGCTTCCCCCACCTCCGCCCTCCCCCCCGACGTAACTACGTCATTTGTAAAATTCTACGTTAAGGCTACGTTTACAAACGCAGATGCGTGAATCCAAAAAACATAAAAAAAAAAAGTCCCGATTTGGTCAAGTCTCCGGAGAATTTGGATACGAAATCGAAAGTGAATATAGTACTTTGTATCTTATTACTTTTAAATCCTCTATTTATTGTAGAGTATACAAGTCTTCCAACGAATCATGATAATTTCCTCCTTCGATCATAAGAGTTTGAGGTAAAACCGAAATGAAAGTGTCAAGTTCATGACTGTCAGGTGCTTTAAAAATAGCGATTGCGGGGGTAACAAATACCGTCGGTCACTACTAAAACTCAAACTTTTCCGCTTTTATTCCAACTTGCTTAAAATGGCAATCGAGGTGGATTTCGCTTGAGATGAAGCCTTGGCGCGGACCACACTCCCAAGCTTGAACTGAGAAAGAAAAATTTACCATCGCGAGTTTATTTTAACGTTCTCCAAACAACGTCGTTTACGAAAATTTCACGTCACGGCAAAGATAACTCAAACTGTTTTCCCCTGCCTGCCCTACCACGAGACAAAAATTTACTTCAGTGATTTCAACATATTACTATAGGCATATACCTACACTTTGCCGCGACGTTGACCGCACTAGTGTTCTCAGTTCAGTATTCTTCACAATGCATCTGTTTGCAATTTGTTCATGAATTTATTCTTTCTTATACATAGCGTATCTCTCAGTACTCCGGCTCTTGGGAACGAAATCGAGGAATGGAACCACGGACTTCCGTTCCGCCGACCGGCTTTTGTTTATAATAATAAAAGACCCGTTATGCTTCCTTTTCTCTCCTTTTAGGATTCTTGGGCCGCACTGAGCCGAGAGCGAAGTCAAGCCAGCGGGAAAAACATCTGCCTTTCCAAAGCTAGGCCTGTCAGTATTACCGCTCTTCTTCTACTTCTTGTACTGACACCCACATGCTTTTATCAAAGATTCTTTTATTCTAAGGTCTGTTGTTTATGTCTCGTTACTGCAGCAGAAAACGTATCGGTACAGCTTGTGTTCTGAAGTTTAGGTCCGCTTAGCAAGACATGTCCGCTCCAAAAACGGCTGCCACTTAGCGCAGTCAAAGCTATGGTCATTTTCCACGTACGCTGTGATCGTTGACACCTCCTCGTTAAAAATTCTACCCCCTCTGCTGAACAGCAAAGCTTAAGCTTTTTTTTTTTTTTCCTAAATACAAAAACTGTACAAATTTGGTGAAAAAACCCAAGGAGAAGCCATATAGGAGCAAAATATAATCTTATACATAAATAAATGAGCTGGATTAAGCTTATTTTACCTAGAGCTACTCAAACTGTTTTCCCCTACCACAAGACTTGCTTCAAAACTTTCATTACGTATGCTTATTAAGTTTACGTAACTATTATTGCGAATGCAAGGAATTGGTGGTTTGCTTCAGTGATTTCAACATATTACTATAGGCATATATCTGCACTTTGCCGCGACGCTGACGGCACTTGTGTTCTTCAGCATTCTTGAACGTTTGATTTGAGAGGTTTGCAATTTTTTCATGAATTTAGAGAGTGTAAGAATACAGGCTCTTGGGAGCGAAATTGTGGCAAAATCTGTTCCGCCCACCGGATTTTGTTTGTAATAATAAAAGACCCGTTATTCTTTCTTTCCCCTTCAGAGAGTATGAGATTATAAACAGGCTCCTGAAGCACCTGGTTTCTAAAAATAGATTGCACATTGACCCTGAGACAAACATTGGAGTTTTCAGAGAGGAAGACAAGGAATTTAGGCAAAGTTTTTAAGCCAAAAAAGAGCATTTTTACTCCTTTTATTTTGTTCAGTGCAAGACATTATTGTTGGAGCCATGCAAAAGGGATTCTAGGTATCCCTGAGGAAAGCAACACAGATCGCTGAAAGAAATGACTGAATTCGTGTGTGAAAGCAATTGCAAGAACTTGATCGCTCTCAACTCGATTAATAAACGCTTGTTTCCGTAAAAACTTTAATATTACCATGAAACACAAACGTTTGTGGATCTTACTGGCTAGGGAAAACAGCCGCTGTGAAGAATTTCTCAATCCCTTTCATATACGAAGATTATTTTACCAGTCGAATGCGTCCATCGAACAAACTAAACATGATTTTGACCAGTCCAGATCGAAACACGAGGATCATGTTAATCTCGTACCAGGTTCGAAAAAAAGTAAGCATGCACAACTGTTCAGCAAATTAAACTGCCTATAAGAGGCAAGAGCTAAGCAATTATCGAGACGATAAATGATTTTTCTCACCTCATGACAATATAAGCTTATCATTCTGAAGAAGGAATTGAATTATGAAGACAACTTAAAGGTAAGTGGTGACCTCCCTCAAGGTAGTTAGTGCAAAAGACCGAGACAACTAAAAAACCTGTACACACACAGTATACAGTTTATAATGTTACATTGAGATCAATTTCTTTGAACATCAATAATGATATAAGCATTGAAAGCGGCTCAAAGCTACCTTATGAAAATAAATTACGCTTCCCTTGCATAACCACGCTTCTAGTTTTCAACAGGCAATATCACAATACATATTTA